ACATCTGCATTATTTTTTAGATGGCGCCACTGTGAGTTACTCAGGTAATGCAGTACTTTACCGTGAAGCGAAGAGATGATGAGGAGCAAGGTGTATTCAAGGCATTTCTTCATGTTTGAGGGGTCTAAAACACAGAGGAGGTTTAGAGGTCGAGAAACGAATACAAACAGCTGTGGTAAAGACAAAACAGCACATTTTACATAATGCATGTATCATTGCTTTTCAACAACAGGTTACTCTGCTGGATTAAAAATTCAAATCGAAAAAGGTTTATTTTAGATGGTTTATTTCTTTTTTAGATTTAGGTATTTTTAATAATTAATAAAACTCTCTTTCAAAGAAAAACAAATGCAAAGAATAGGCATTGTCATTAATCAATCACTGTCATTTCAAAATGTCTAAAATTGTTAATATGACATATATATATATATATATATATATATATATTCAAATAAATGTGTTCATCAAAGAATCCTGAGAAATAATGTAAAAAAATAAATAAATAAATAAAAAATACAACACACTGAAAGTAAGGTTTCCACAAAAATATGAAGCAGTGCAACTGTTTGCAAACAGCTGAAAAACATACATTTTTCTTGAGCAGCAAATCAACATAGAATGATTTTCTGAAAGACACTGAAGACTGGAGTAATGATGCTGAAAATTCAACTTTGCATCACGGGAATAAATTACATTTTAAAATATATTCAAATAGAAAGCAGACATTTTAAATTGTAATAATATTTCACAATATTACTGTTTTTACTTTATTTTTGATCAAATAAATACAGTCTTGGGAAGCGTAAGAAACCTCTAATGCATAAAAGACTTCAAAAACGTTATTATTATTATTTTTTTAATATATGATAATATAATATATTACTTTTTCTACCCAAAACATAAACGGACGGCATAAAAACTCACCCTGAGCATCGAAAGCTTAATCCTGAGCAGCTAAATTCCACTAACTTCCACCCACAATAACTTAGCTGTGATATTGTGTTTGCTTTTATAGTGCAACCACATCTGTCCCTTTGGTTTTATGGTCTTGTTTGTACACTAACTATTCGCGGGAACAAAAACAATAACACGCCAGGACTTCGGCTGACCCAAAAGCTCCGAATATCTGTGATCGCCTCCTCTTGTTTGAAGCTATCATGTCTAAGACCTTGCCTTTGATTCACACACAGTGAGCTGCTCTCCAAGGGGAAATCAAATACCTATAGACTCTTACATTTGACAAAACGGTTTGTCAGAGAATAGGATATCGGGTGACAGTGAAATTGGGTGGAAAGGGCAATAGGGTGGTGGTAACCAAAGCAGCTGCGAACAAAGTCTTTCCAATATCGCTTGACTGTATAAACGCACGTCTATATCCTCAGGGGAGAGCTCCACCTAGAAGGATGAGTTTGCCATTTATCTGAAGTCCCACCTTGGATGTAATGAATCTGTATTCTCATAGAACCTTGTGCGATTTGTTTAGAAAAATAATGTCAATTTCTCTCCTCTCATTGTTTGAAGATCAAACGAGATACCAAAAATGAAATTCTTATAATTGGTGCTACATTGTCTTTATTGTATGTAACTCGTAATCTGTTCAGGGAGTCCAGCCAGAGAATGTTATTGTGATTCTCTTTCCCTTGATGTGGGCAGTTAGAGAAATATTGTGTGTATTTCTGAAACAAAATGCTCTTGTGGGGGACAAAGGGAAGGCAAATGTGTGGTACTGCATCCTAAATAAAATCGAATGGAGAAAATGTTTGGGAGTTGCTACAGAGAGGACAAGGGTTTACATTTAAGGTGCAATCACATTAGCGAACGTTCGCGGATGAAAAAGGTCCATTGTCTTTTGTCTCACACAGAAATCACTTTCAACCCAAGCAGCTTTCTGTTGGCCAGTGCAGCGAATATGCGTGACCACATTGAACCACTTGTGAAATCTGCGTAGGGAAATATTTCACCCTCATGCAAAGTTCCTGATCGTATGGATTCCTATTTAAATGACTGGAAAATTCCCAGAACAACGGTAAATGTAACCACACCTTTAGACTGGAACGTAAAAGTCAGCAGTTAAGAAATTATGAATGAATGAATCTTCAATCTTGATGAATTTTCACATCAGGATTAATAGAAAGATACAGGGGTTGGACAAAATGATGTGAACACCCGTTATTATGAGGGTTAATATAATTTGTGCAGGCTACAGGAGCATCGGTAACTTTAACAGCCCTACTGCTATTTTATTTAACTGGAACAACAGTTTTTACGATTATGACTCTGTATGCAAAGAATGGCAAGACTTTATAACAGAAGAGGAAATGTGGTTGAATACTGAAAGTTAATGATAGGGTTAATTGAACACTGAGAAGGATAAATAAGCTACTGTAGCAAAGTGACAGCTAACCTCAATATTCACTTTAAAGGCCCTGTTTCCACAAAAACTGACCACAGAGAATTTCACAAAGCCAGCATCCATGAAAGAGCTGCAACTGCTAAAATGTTATCACGGACACCAATGCTAAAATCCCTAAAATATGGTGTCATAATCATAAAACCTGGACAATTGGAGCACCAAGACAAACTTTAACATATGCCCTGATCAGGCAAATCACCTGACTTGAATATTATCAAACTACTGTAGGGAGTTTTGGGGAAAAAGAGCGAGAAGCAGATTCCCTCCTTCAACATTTCTGAAGCAACTGGTAGATGTTCTGAGAGACAACATTCAACTGGAGACTATTCAAAAGTATCTGTATCAAACGCCTTCAGGTTGGAAGCTGTTTTAAAGGGAAATGGTGGTAAAATGTCTTAATAATGAAATATTGCCTATTTCCCAGGTGTTCGCATGATTTTTTCTTACCCCTATAGATGCTAAGTGTCACAAACAGGGAAGGATGAGGAGAGGTGAGGATCTAGGTGCAGCATGTTTAATGTGAAAACAACAGAGAAATGCGTAAAACAAGACAAAGAACATAGGCAAGTAAGACAAATGACAAACAAAGCACAAGAGAAACACTTGGGCTGTATATACAGAGCTGAACTAATGAGTAACCAAGGGAACTAACAAGCAGATGGGTGTGGTCCAATGAGTGTCCTTGGCAACAAACAAGGGAACAGAGCTGCAGGGAAACAAAACAAGGAAGACACAGAACTACAAACTAAGAGTCCAAGACACAGACACAGAAAACAAAGGCAGGGATTGTGACATAGCCCCCCTCCTAAGGAGCGGCTTCCAGATTCTCCAAAACAAGAAACACAAAACAAAAGTCCAGGAGGGTGGTGGAGCAGAGGCGGAACAGGAGAGGGATGGTAGGCACATGGTGTGGAAGAAAGAGGGCCTGGAGGCTGTGATGGAGCATGAGACCAGGGCAGAGCCGGCGGATCAAGCGGCCAGGGTGGGGCTGGAGACCAGAGTGAAGCTGGAGACAAGGGCGGAGCGGATGGATCAGATAGTCAGGGTGGAGCTGGAGACCAGACTGAAGCTGGAGACAAGGGCGGAGTGGATGAATCAGGTAGCCAGAGTGAAGCTGGAGACAAGGACGGAGCGGATGGATCAGATAGTCAGGGTGTAGCTGGAGACCAGACTGAAGCTGGAGGCAAGGGCGGAGCGGATGGATCAGGTAGTCAGGGTGGAGCTGGAGACCAGAGTGAAGCTGGAGACAAGGGCAGAGCAGATGGATCAGGTAGTCAGGGTGGAGCTGGAGACAAGGGCGGAGCGGATGGATCAGGTAGTCAGGGTGGAGCTGGAGGCAAGGGCGGAGCGGATGGATCAGGTAGTCAGGGTGGAGCTGGAGACCAGATTGAAGCTGGAGACAAGGGCAGAGCGGATGGATCAGGTAGTCAGGGTGGAGCTGGAGACCAGATTGAAGCTGGAGACAAGGGCGGAGCGGATGGATCAGGTAGTCAGGGTGGAGCCGGAGACCAGAGTGAAGCTGGAGACAAGGGCGGAGCGGATGGATCGGGTAGTCAGGGTGGAGCTGGAGACCAGAGTGAAGCTGGAGACAAGGGCAGAGCGGATGGATCAGGTAGTCAGGGTGGAGCTGAAGACCAGACTGAAGCTGGAGACAAGGGCAGAGCTGGCTGGGATGGATCAGGTAGTCAGGGTGTAGCTGGAGACCAGATTGAAGCTGGAGACAAGGGCGAAGTGGATGGATCAGGTAGTCAGGGTGGAGCTGAAGACCAGACTGAAGCTGGAGACAAGGGCAGAGCTGGCTGATCAGGTGGCCAGAAGAAGCCGGCAGGACAAACGGGACCCAAGATCCTCACAACGGAGCAGACGGGAACAGAGATCCCCACGGCGGAGCAGAAGACCACCACAGCAGAGCAGATGGGACTGGAAATTTCCACGGTGGAATAGAAGACCACCAGGGCGGCGCAGGTGGGGCTGGAGACCTCCACGGTGGTACAGGCAGAGTTGGAAGCCACCATGGCAGGACTGGTGGAGCTGTACAACCCCATGGTAGAGCAGATGGAGTTGAAGTCCACCACAGAGGAGCAGTAACCCACCATGGCGGGGCAGGCGGAACTGTAACAGACAGAACTGAAAGGTTAACAACGGCCTCTGTGGAAATGACAGGACTGGCAAAGGATTTAGGGACCGTCTTCGTGGCCGTGATAGGGCAGGCAGAGGGTTCAGAGATGGCCGAGACAGGAGCTCAAGGGTGACCTCAGTGGTCGAGACAGGATAGGCAAAAAGTTAACTGACTGGCAACAACACAAGACTGAGCTCTGGTACTTGAGCGGGATCTGGAGCGGACTCATGGACCGGAGAGGGCTCCGGTGCAGACTCAGGGGCTGGAGAGCTTTGTGTGGCCCACGCACACAAGATGGTGACCGCCATCACAGGCAGCGCAGCAGACGGAGGGAGGATCACCAGGCTTGAAAGCGCAGAGGATGCCAGGCTGGGGATGCCGGCCACCTGTACCGACATCAGTGGTGGGTCCACCAAATTGGAAGTCAAACGGCTAGGGACTGCCATGGTTGCTTCAGGTGCAACATACATGACAGCCGGAAACACTGGAGTGGCCTCCAAGACGGCTGAAGCCTCTGGCATGGTGGCCATGACGGCTGGAGACTCTGGAGTGGCGGCCATGTTGAGGTCCTCCTCCACCTCTCTTTAACAGTGAAGGAGGAACCACAAAACTGCAGGACAAGGTCTATATATTGTGCCTGAGTCCAGCTTGGATCCCCCTGGCAACATCTCACTGAGGTCAACATCTAGACCACTCCAGACACAATCCATTTACAAGATTTCATCACCTGCCACAAGGAAACACTGGCAGGGATTGTGACGTCTAGGCATTGCTAAGCAGCTCTAATTGTTAGCCAAGGTGATAACCAACATAACTGCTAATAGGATTTCTATCATGATTTTAAATTTGTGTCCTGATAGAGGTTCTTTCATAAACCTGTTCCCCTTTATTCTTTCCAAATTCTTCCTGCACCTTCAAGTGTATTTATTAAGCATAAAAATGTAATTAATTTAATATTAATTAAACATTTCCCTTTCTTTGTGTTTTTAATTATCCGTTGGTGAGCAAGCTAACAGCTTAACCTGCTAGCTTAGCATAGCACTAACTTGTTAAGAAAAGCTCTTTTGATTTGTTAGAACACAATGTCACCATAACATATTTTGGATCAGGCTTGAGGACTTCTTGGCACTATGAACTTTTACAATCAAATGAGCTATAACTGAAAACTTCGCTTCCAGAATTTCAGTTGTATCTAAGGGCCATTCACACTAAGGATGGTAACTTAACACAAATTAAAACTATAAAGTTTTAATAATCTATGTTCTAATTCTATGAAAATTGTGAAGTCCACAATGGAACTATAATGATAACAGCTCAGTGGTATCGTTGGAATCACTCTCAAAATAATATTTTTCCAGCTGATAAATGATCAAATATGAGCCAGTCAGAATCCACCCGACTTTAAAGAATGAGGATTTAAAGTGGTAGATGACAAATAATAAACAGAACATTGTCACCAGTTATCGTTATTGTGAACAGCACTAATATAGTTATTGTAATAGTTGTCTTTAAAGTTATCAAGCTTGGTATTAACGGATCTTTACAAAATTGTTATTTCAGCTCTTTAGGATTGGTTTCATATTAAAAAGCAGCACATTAGCATTTTTAACAAGGGACTGACTAATTATCACATGCAGAGTTGGGAAGGCTTGTCTTAACTTGTGACATGTTTTAACTTGTCTTAATACATGTCCATTGCTTTGAGGTGATCCAGCGAGAACACATTATGTGTTATTATGAGAAGGTCAGGGAGGGCAACCCTGCTGAAAGCCCAACTTGTTCAGTTGAATCAAACACTGTTTGATTCATAGCACCCCTTGAATACTGCAATCAGAACTATGGAAACCTGAAGAACAGTGTTGATGTGATTTCTTCACCCTATGTGGAGGGGTTTGGTAGATATAGTCCTGCTGACCTTCAGTGCTGCTTTTCACGCTCACATTAGCCATAGTCATGCTGCTCTTTCTGGTGCTGTTGAAACTCATCCCAGCCAACTGTAAGTACACTGAATAATATCAGGAGCTGAACTACTTATTTTTGCCTGCAGCCTTAGCTTTGCAACAAAGCAATGTATTGCCTTTTACAGTGTTTAAGCGTTTTAAGTGTTTACTTTTACTTAGTACTTGGATGAATGGCACGTTACTTTGTCTTGAAATGAATAGAACTTTGTGATGATGAGCATGTTCTGAATGCATTAATTAAATTTCATTTTAATACAGGGGGTATTAAAAAGCATAATCTAATGTTACATATAATGTGTGTGTGTGTGTCCAACAAATGTCCCCACAAGGATAGTAAAACCTGAAATTTTTGACATTGTGGGGACCGACCTGCAGTCCCCATGAGGAACAAAAAATATTTAAAAAATTGTAAATGATGTTTATCTGAAAGTGTAACAATGCAAACAGGTTTAGGATAGGTTTAGGTTTAGGGGTAGGGTTGGGTTAGGGGATAAAAAATATTGTTTGGTCAACATAAAAGTAATAGAAGTCTATGGAAAGTCCCCACAATTCACAGAAACAATCGTGTGTGTGTGTGTGTGTGTGTGTGTGTGTGTGTGTGTGTGTGTGTGTGTGTATATATATATATATATATATAAAATCATGAGCCTCAAAATATCAGAAAATTCCACTCTTTATATACATTTCAAATATCTGAAATTTTAAGGTACATATGTAAATCGAAAATATATTTAAAACATTTTTGAAATTAGGGAAAATTTGATGTACAGTCATATTTAAATCTAAACTATATTTAAAAACGTTTTTGTAATTAGAGAAATTTAATGTATCAGTCATATATATTAAGGAAATATGTTCATAGTTTTTACTTATTAGTTATACCACATGACATTATTAGAGTCATTACATTTAAACTCATGAATCATTAGAGTCAGTTACAAACCAACATAAATACAAACTGGACACAACTAGAATTTTAAAAGTTTTTTTTTCTTTTCTTTATCGTGAACATTCTTAATGTTCATAAATATCATAAATCATAAACCACTGCTGCATACTACCATTAACAAACAACTTTAAAACTAAAAAGAAGCCTTAGAACATCAGGCTATGTATCCTGAGATTAGAGGTTTATTTCATTGTCCTTTCACTGTCACCTTGAGTTCTGAGATGTTTTTAATGTTTTTTATAATGTTTTCCAGGTCTGGACTTTGTTCAGGGGCCATTGTTGGCGGATATACCCCCTCGCCAAATTCAATCAAATACATTGTATCGCTACAGAGCTCGAAGAGCCAGCACTTCTGTGGCGGATCTCTGGTCCATAAATCCTGGGTGCTTACTGCCGCCCATTGCAATATTGGGTGTGTGATTTTTCACCTTTTCTTTAAATAAATTCTCTGCCTAACAGGCTGTTAATGAGACTTACAGGATGTACAGTATGGCAGGAGACTTGATGGCCAAGTCTGTGGGTGAGTCGAAAGCCAGAGTAAAGCAGACAGGCACTCAGGACGCACGCTAACCTTGACCCGTCATCCCCGTGTGGGGCTTAATGAATGCTGGCTTATCTGCAGCTTGGCACGGATGAGGCTGCTAACAGCGAGAAATACTGTTATTCAACTCATGTCCTCTACAAAAGAGTCACTGTGTATAACAAGAAATCAGATATCAAGCATATAAGTATCTGTTTCTTCACTGTTGCTTAAGTATGGTGGTGTTAGAATATCATCCCATGTTTTTTCAGAGGGTCTTGAGTGTATTTTTGCTTGTCTTTAAGGATGGATCAGATGACGGTGGTGGCTGGAGACTATACTTTAGGTGCTTATGAGGGGACAGAGCAGTACTCCAAGCCTCTGTCACTTATCCCGCACCCTCAGTACAACAGGAGCACCAATAATGCAGATATTATGCTCATCAAGGTAGGGCACCTTGGTGCTTATACCACGCTCAAGTGAGTGAATAAGAAAGTATTGGATGCTTCAATCTGGTCAATTATCATGGCATTCATGGCTTCAATTATGACAATCTAATATAAAGAAACAACATAGCTAAAAACGTTAAAAGAAAAAATAAATAAATACATTAAAATATTTTCAAAACCTTATGTCCTGATCATCCAGTAGGAATTTATATTACAGACTGGCTATACATTATCCCTTACATAATGAAACTTTTCAGAACCTGTTGATTAACAGTCATCGAGTCAAGTATTTAAATTATATAACATTTAGTTCTAGTCCTTGAGAATTTGATTGGCTAAGCTATGTTTCAGAAGTGCTGGAATTTCTGGAACTTGACATCGTGTCACTAACTGAGGCTGCGTCTGAAATCACATACTCTCTAATAGGTACTTCATGATCATTAAAAAATACATTCTATATGATATGACGGTGTGTTGTCATCTGGGTAGTTTCAACTTACTGATGAATTTGGACATACTACTTGGCTCGTATACTGTTTTTCACCTACTATATAATAGGGAAGTATGCGATTTTGGATGCAGCCTGAGTCTTGAATCATTTAATCATTCATTCAACTGATTTGTTCAAATTCACTGATTCATTCAGGAATAAGACAAGTGACTGGATGCCTCTGACTGAAAATCTCATGATGAAATAAATGTTTTTCTCCAATGCATGTTGGCCACAATTACTGGCACCCCTAGATATTCTTATGAGCAAAATATATCTGAAGTATATTCCCTTTCATATTTACAACACAAAAATGTGTCTCTGAGCACAACATGAAGCTTCTGCCATGGCCATCCCAGTCCTCTAACCTGAACCCTACAGAAAATGATTGGGGTGAACTGAAGAGAAGAAGCACCAACATGGAGCTGTGAATCTGAAGGATCTGGAGAGACTCTGGATGAAGGAATGGTCTCTGATCTCTTTTCAGGTGTTCTCCAAACTCTTCAGGCATTATAGAAGAAACTCAGAGCTGTTATCATGGGAAAAGGACATTGCAATAATTGGATGCCAATAATTGTGGCCAACATGAACTAGTAAAAAACATTTATTTCATCATGAGATTTCCCCCTCACTTTCCATTGTTTTACTTCAATGAAAGGTTAGAATTTTGTGAATTTTTTTAATAAAAAAGATCAGAAGGATAAACAATACACATTTATTTTCACAGCCTCCTTTGCTCATATTTACCAAGGGTGCCAATATTAGTGGAGGGCACTGTACATCCAGATTTCATTCAACACTGCACACTTCTACTATACAGAACATACTTTTGAAGTGCTTAATCAAAAGAAGGACCTACTAAGAAAGTATGCGATATGCTTTGAGAATGAATCATTGAATCATTCATTCAACACATTTGTTCAAAATTACAGTTTCTGTCTGAAATTAGTCACTGAATTGTTCATTCAGTCAATTCGTTTAAAACACTGATTACAATGAAACAGCAAGTAACACATTGTATTAAACAAAGTAGAAAGACTGAAATAGTATTCTCCTTCTAAATGTACTCCAATAATCTTTTATTTACTCGTTATACAATGTAAGTTAATATTGAGTTCGATACGATGTAAGCTGTGCTTTTATATCGACTCTGATCTGTATGCCTGTCTCTGTGTGTGGGTTCTTTCAGCTTAGTGCGCCCATAGAGCTGAACAGGTACATGTCCTTCGCCCCGCTCCCGAAACAGAATGCAGGGCTGCTGGCGGGCAGGATGTGCCGGGTGTCTGGATGGGGCTCCACCAGCCACAGCGGAGGTTTGACGCCCCTCACCCTGCGTACGGTCAAACTCCCCATCGTCTCCACCTCCAAGTGCAACAGCAGTAACTCCTTCAGTGGAAACATCACAGCAAACATGATCTGCGCTGGGTCCAGCACAGGAGGAAAAGATGCGTGTAAGGTAAAGTGGAAAATCACTAGCGGTAATGACCAGCTGACATTCTCCATTACTCATGATTCAAATGCTCTATAAGGATGTTGGCGTTCTGGTGTTCCAGGGAGACTCCGGAGGGCCGCTGGTGTGTGATGGACGTGTTTATGGCCTGGTCCCTTGGGGAAATGGCTGTGGAGATTCTAGGTTTCCAGGGGTTTATACAGCCGTGTCCAGGTTCCGCAGGTGGATTGACCAGACAATATACAGCCCATATTCACGATGCCTTAAGTCAGTCGGTCTTTTCAGCAGGAAAGACTAAACTTCTCTTGTGCTTTCTCCAATACTTGCATTCATATAATGCGCAAACAATATTGTTCAAACCACATTATTTCTCAGCACATTATATAATTTGTCCATTACCAATGTCCAACAGTGAATATACATACATCATGGAAAATTCTTTCATTTTTTTGTCAATATTTTCACCACATCTTAAATGATTCTGTGGTTCATTCCACGTCATTCTGTGGTGGAAATGACAGTGATAGAATATTATATTTTAAACATTTTCCTAATAAAATAATTTATGCATACTAAATACTTTTGTATAATTACAAAATAACAGCTGAAATTATATTTTTGGTTTGTTGTAGTGGAAATGTAGGCAGAACTGTGGAACAACCTTAATTTTCAAAAATGTATTGTATATAAATCATTTACTCACAATACTGTATAAACTATATTGTTAATTTTTTCACTGCTTGCTTATATCATCATAGTTTAAAACATGATTTTCATAATATTGAAGTTGTTACCTAAAAGGAATTTGAAAAGCGGTGGAAAAGGCATGGTAAATTGTTTTAATAGGATTTTAACATATGATTTAAATATATTTATATATTAAGTTTTCATAAAAAATGAAATATAAATTCATAAAAAAATATCATCATAGTTTAAAACATGATTTTCATAATATTGAAGTTGTTACCTAACAGGAATTTGAAAAGCGGTGGAAAAGGCATGGTAACTTGTTTTAATAGGATTTTAACATATGATTTAAATGTATTTATATATTAAGTTTTCATACAAAATGAAATATAAATTCATAAAAAAACTGACAGTACCTTTTAAAGATTTTTCAATAAGGTCAAAAAGAATTAATACTTTTATTTAGTGAGGACACATTCAATTAATCAAAAGCAACAGAAAAGATATGCACATTTAGTTACAAGAGTAAATGCTAAGACGTATCCTGAAAAAAATAAAAAGTTTCTATAAAAATATTACGCAGTAACTAAACTGCAAATTAAACAGTTTTCAACACTGATAATAATCGGAAATCTGTCTTGAGCAGTAAATCAGCGTATTAGAATGAATTCTGAAGGATCATGTGACACTCAAGACTGGAGTAATGATGCTCTGCATCACTGGAAAAAAATTACATTTTAAAATATATTAAAATAGAAAACATCGTTCTAAAACATCTAAAATGGAAAACATCAAACAGCCATAAATGAAAGCATTTGCAATAAAATGTGACCCTAGACCACAAAACCAGTCATAAGGGTCAATTTTTCAAAATTGAGATGTATGCATCATCTGAAAGCTGAATAAATAGCTTTCCATTGATGTATGTTTTGTTAGGATAGGACAATATTTGGCCGAGATACAACTGTTTGAAAATCTGGAATCTGAGGGTGAAAAAAAATCAAAATCGCCTTTAAAGATGTCCAAATGAAGTTCTTATAGCAATGCATATTACTAAACAAAAATTAAGTTTTGATATATTTACGGTAGGAAATTTACAAAATATCTTCATGGAACATGATCTTTACTTAACATCCTAATGATTTTTGTCATAAAAGAAAAATCGATAATTTTGACCCATACAATGTTTTTTTGGCTATTGCTAAAAATATACCCCAGCGACTTAAGACTGGTTTTGTGCTCCAGGGTCACAAATGTAATGTGAAGGCCTCTTAAAACTGCAATACACTTACAAACTCTTAAGTAATGTGATTAATATACATGATAAATTAACAAAAATGTCTAACAGTGATGTTGTGAAGACTACGTTTTAATATCAGTTAGCAGCTAGATGTCATGCATTTAAATTGCTTATTTACAAGGGAATTACCCCAAACGGTTTCACCAAAGGATATTAAATGCAGAAAAGTTGCCTTTGTTTAGTGCAATTGCTGTGACTGGGAAGCCATTAAAAGATTTGACGTTGTACCGTTCTTGCAACAATGGATGTTTGCGCATCTAATAGGACTGGGTGTGTCTGTAATTACTCTTCTCTGAAGGTGGCATCAGTTCCAGGAGCTTTTGGTTTCACTGCCTGCACATGACACCACGTGTAAGACGATCGCCGCACGAACTACACACAATGATTCGCAGCAGTTTATGCGTGTATCATATAAATGCATACCAAAAGTTCAGTTTGATTATAATAACTTTTATGTATCTGGGGCATCATTCATTGCTTACATAATTAAAAACAATAGGTAACATTAAGCATATAGGTTAAACTAACCAACAATACAGGTCATATGGGAATAATGACATTTTTGAGGAGGGCTGCTAACATGTTTGGCTGAAACGGAGTAATCTGATGGATCTCTGAATAGACTTTCATGGGAAATAAATCGCAGAACAGCATGTTCCCACAGGGAAAGCCATTGTGAATGAATATGCCACACAAAAATAAGTAAATACTAAAGAACAAAGCTAATTTCACATGCCAGGACAAGTAGAACTTGTTGTAAATAAGCTGACCAAGATTCATTTTATGATCTGTGCCATAAAATATTTTGTATGTTTGTTTGTAATTTAGTTATTTAAGATCTGCATGTGGTTAGTGAAGTTTACAACTGGTGGAAATGGGTCACACTTTTGTTCTAAAAGGGGTCAACAGGGAGAACCGATGCTAAATGCTAAACCTTTAACCTTCTATTCTTTGTTCCTGACCTGACTTTTTTGTAGGCCTGCCATATTTGACCAGCAGTGTTGGGGGTAACGCATTACTTGTAATAATCAGATTACTTTTTTTCAACTAACTACGCAACACATTACTTTTACATGAAAATATCTGAGTTATCTTTTTAAATCAGTAATGGTAATTAAATAAGTTATTTTGTTTTCCCATGTATTGACTGACAGCTCTCCTGTCCCAAAGTTGAGAGAAATCATAAGTGCACAGGCGTTACTGTAGTTCTAGACTAAATCTGAGGCTAATTCATTACACTTTTGGTGTAAAAGGACTTTTACATTTGCCAAAAATAGGCATTTTTTAATATAAAATCAAACAAGCAAGCCCAGTCTAGATGAGAAAAAGTAGCGCCAACATAATGGAATACATTACTTACCATAAAAAGTAACTAAGTAACACTACTTTTTTGGAAAATAACGCAATATTGTAATGCATTACTTTTAAAAGTAAGTTTTCCCAGCACTGTTGACCAGGCACACCAAATATGGCCATGTAACAATATGGGGGAAAAATCCCTCAAAAGTACAAAATTATCCCATTTTTGGAGAAATTGTTATACGGTGTATGAGTAAAGTCAGTAAACTTTAGTCCAATATGATAACATTTTCAGAAACAAAACAAATCCAGTCACAATTCTATAGTGGTACAATTTACTCAGGTCAATGGTTTGAGTAGCGTGTATGACATGAAACTTTTTTTTAGAATAATTGTACATAAATAGATTGAGTGAAACAAATGTGATTATTTTTGAATAACGCCGGATCTGTTTCCTACGTTGTGATTTGATCTGAACGGAAACAGTGTATCCGTGTGACACAGCTGACACAGAACAGCATACGCTGTTTACGTCCAGCGGATATTCTCCAAAATGGCACCAGGGTGATGCGGAGGAGACGAATTGTTGAATAAAGTTGTTATTTTATTTTATTTTGCGCACAAAAAGTATTCTTGTAGCTTCGTATAATTGCGGTTGAACCACTGATGTCTCCATGGATTATTTTACAGATCTGTCCTTGCTACGTTTCTGGACTTGGGAACATTTCAGTTGCGTTGCTGTCTATGCAGAGTCAGACAGCTCTCAGATTCCATCAAAAATATCTTCATTTGTGTTCCGAAGATGAACACAGGTTCTTCTTAAGGTCTTACGCATTTGAAACGACACGAGGGTGAGTAATTAATGACAGAATTATAATTTTTGGGTGAACTAACCCTTTAACTGCAGACACACAGAAATTACATATGCGGTACAGTATGAATATTTTGAGCGTCCCTTACTTTTCTGTAAAGTATCACAATTGTCCCATATTTTCCTATTCGGAAGTTGGCAACTCTACACTCAGCTCATCTTCATCATTCTTCCCAATATTAAACTGTCTGAAGCCTAAGCATTCAAATGACCTCTCTCAGAGGAAACAGGCTGGTTTCTAGCAAACCGAGACGAGGCTCTGTGCGTTTCCCATTTCAGCTATTCAGATCAGATAGAACGGAACAAAATGTCCTCTCATTCGCAGATGGGAAGAAGCAGTGCATCTCGCTTTCATCCCGCTCGTTTCTGCAGCGGAGTGACAATGTCTGCTGCTCAATCCTGGAAAGGTTATAACTGCGCCTGGTGCAGAAGATTATGCTCTCGAAATCTTGGACAGAGAAGCAAACCCCCTCAGCTCATATATCCAGATTGTGCCAGTATGAGTTCAGCATCACTCCAGCTTCTGATATTACAAAATGAAAACCTATACACAGAGGGGGGAAAACATCCCATATTGCCTTCTCTTGTGATTTACAGGCATGTTTTAATATCTTATTCTGTTTGGTCGGGTTTTAACTGAAAAAGCATGCAATAAGGATAAAATTACTGAATAAAATAACACATGGGCTCTTGCTACATCTAAAATATGAGGTCTTACAAAATGTAGATGGCTCTCAATGTTATTAAACTGAGTCAGTGCTTATTTAATCTACACAATCATGTGCCTTAACCCTTTAACTGTTTTCTTAAAAGTGTAAAAACACTGGCCTGTCTCTTATTTGCTGGTTTTCTGACTCCTGATAAACCCTCAGTTTCACTACAGTGATATATATATATATGACCACAGGTGATGAAATGTGTTGCATACATAGTTCATTTATTTGTAAAATTCACATATGTCTGTTTACCCAGCTCAGGTCTTGGATCCTCTACAAATGAGCAATCGAGGTGACGCAGGTGTATTACATAATAAGAGAGACATCCAAAATGTGCTGTACTTAAGTACTTCAGGATTGATTTCAGGACTGAGAAAAACCACTATATCAATAAGCCTCAACATAAGTCTTTGTCGCAAACCGTC